TCTTGCTAGAAAGGGTGCCCAGTCCTGGGTTCTGAGTTTGGCAGAGTATTTCTAACCCAGGAGTCTGGGTTTAGGAGCTGGAAATCCCAGGTTTCTGGTAGTTTTGCTCCCTGACAGCCTGCAATACAAATCAGGAAGGATCCAGGAGAGCAAACCAGCAGGAAACTAGACCCCAATCAGAGCTAACCATCCGTTAAATAATGCTTTCATTTAGACAAATGGAAAACAATTGCAGTAAGAGCTTCTGTGGAGCTGTATTTAGTTCTTCTCTGTAGGATAGAGACTAGAAATGTAATTTTATTTTGAAATAAATGACGGGATTTATCACATATACATAAGAAGCTGAAAAAAAACCTATCAATTTTCTCTGAGAGATTGGGGGAAAAAAAAGTCACAAGATCCAGCAGACTGAGAACCCTCCTGCCCCTGCCTCCCAAAAATACCAGATTTTAAAATTCAGATGAGTTCACCAGAGAAATAATAGATACCATGCTGGGAAAATATTTTGTCAAAGTTACTGATAAGACAAATGAAGCAAATACATATTTCTAGATTTACAAATAATAGTGAAACAGTTTACCTCTCATTTCCATAGAAGTTCTTGCAGAGAACTCCCAGGGATCTCCCTTGCAGAGGGTTTATGTATAGTGAGACTCCAGTCAATGCAATATACTATACAAATATATAATTATTCATAGAACTAGTACAGAGCCTATGGACTAATTAAAAACCCCCTTATTTTACAGGTAGGAAACAGGACAAATCAACATTTATCTGAGGAGAAGGAAGGAGGAACCAAAACACGCCTCTCCTTTGATAAGAGCAAATAATACAAAGGCAAAAACACCATTATTTTTATTCATCTAATTTGAATTTTGCCCTACCTTTCTCTTTACAGAATTTCTTGTCATGTTTTTCTTTGGTTGCCAATGTTTTCAAAGTATCTGCCTTTTTTAAAAAACTAATATCCCTCAGCTCGTGAAGTTTGTTTCATCAATCTTGTGCCCTCCTCACCAAGAGCTAAGTCAACTGTGGTATCTGTTTAGTCTTCCAAAGTGTAAAAGACTTTTAACTTACTCTTGTAAAACTCTGGATAATACACAGAGAGAATTTACACTGGCATAGAACAAACTGTAGTAAGAACATTGTTATCTACTTGTTAGCCTGTGATGGATCCATAAAAAGTAGTTGGACAAACAGGGAAAGCAACACTGGCACATGTGTTAGACTCTCCCTGCCCATGTAGCAGAGCATCTTGATCCACTAAATTTGGGTAAAGCACCTAAAGATAAAACAGTTCACAGGTGCAGGGAATACACCTGGAGATGTGATGGATGTACTTAAAAGCTGCCTGTAAATCTTCCAGTTCCTGATTCATGCCTGCAATACCATCCACTGATGCAAAAGCCAGAGATCAGTGAAGCTTCAAAACCAGCATTTTCATTCTCAGAACGTTCTTTTGCACTTGATATTTTACTCAGTTTTCAAGAAAATTTAATATGAAACAGAACACAAACCACAATCAATTTATAGGATTTGCAGTGCAAATGTCCAGCAGATAAAAGGGTGTACAGAAGCTACTTAACTACCAAAAAATAAAAATGTTCTTGTATAAAGTAAGAAACACCAAATCAAAGAATCAGATGAATAAAAAGAAACTATTTTAAGCTGGAGAAAGACTGAACTAACATTGACTGAACAGCATATTTCCAATACCCTGCACTTCATTGCCTGTATCCTTAAAACACAACCACAAAATCTTTACATTGTTCTGTGCACATTTGATCAAAACTCATCAGACAAAAAATGATCCATCATTTTCCAGATATCATCAAAGAGAAAAAAAAAAAAACACAAACAAAATATGAATGTCTGATTACTTTCTTAAAGCAAGAGCAGGATTGTGGTGGTTTAAGGCTACATGGGCAGATGATAAAGACGCTCCTCTTTGGCAAATCAAGCCTTGATCAGACTTAGAACCGTGTCATGTTTGGTGTGTGCCATTCAGCTTTACCCTTTTGAGACTCATCCACGCCTTTAAACACCTTCCAAGTGAAACCTTTTTTTATATGGAACATGCTCAGCATTATTGCAAACCCAAGAAAATCTATCCCCAGGTTTCAAGGAAATGGTTTAATACTAAAGCAAATTCTGCCACGGATGAAATTCAATCCCTAGATAACAGGAGCTGCCTACAAGCCAGGGATCTGATCTATCCTAGTTATGGGGATTTAGTTACCATATCAGAGGAGTTAAGAGATATTTAACTTATCCCCTGCCCATATTAGATCATAACAGTTGTCACCTGAAGGGCTCTTCAGGTTCCCCTGGCACTATTGGTCTATCTCCTGTACCTATATACTGAAACCTAAATTTAGGCCTCGATCTGTAAACTGAATCCCATCCCTTCTACCCGCAAAGATCAGTTTGGAAAACAACATTTGATGCAGTATTATTCTCAAATTCTACCATCCCAGATGTGCTAAGATTAGAAGTACTTCATTTTATGTAATTTAAATATATATTCAGTTCTTATAATGTTTACTCAATAGATATAAAAGTAGCTTAAGATGATTGCATTTCAATATAAAGCAGAAAAACAACAATAAAAAACCCCAGAGATTGTGCAGCTCAGACTAAAAATGAAAAAAAAAAAAAAGGAGAAAGACTATTTCAAAAACCATACTGTGGAAACCATAAAACCAGCTGCTCACACCATTACATGTTTAAGTAAAAACGATTAAACTGTATTAGCAAGCTTCAGTATGGTCCTAAATGCTCACACTTTTTAAATTAAAACTCGCCTCCCTCTGCACATGTGGTCAGAAATAAAATAAGAATGCTTGTGGTCCAAGGACAAATTGCATCATGACCAAAAACCTGTGTACTGAAAAAGAATAAAATAAGAAGCCACAATTAATCAGTACTGAAAGTTTCTTTGAAAGAACTTTAAAGAGTGCACCTATCAGTAATAGTTCTAAGGAGCAAGATTCTGTAGGAAGCAATCCAGCACGTTCTCTTCCACCACAGCCTCATCACCTGTTATTTAATGTTCCCTTTATAACTTCTAACCCGTAACACAGCAGCACAAACTTTGCTTTTATTCAAGTTTTCACAAGAACCTGTCAACTATCACTTCACAAAAACTAAAAAGCAAATAATGCTTCTCAGTTCTGCGCCATCAAACATCTATTCCTTGAGGTGACTCAATTATATGGAATAATATCTTTAAAAGCAACATTTAAGTTTGAACTGTACAATGAGATGACTAAAGGGCTGAAGTCTGCACTGCTGATACCTCACTGTATCACTCTACCAACTGTAACAGTACCAATGAAAATAACAACGTTAAAGGCCCGTCCTTGAACAGTCTCTTCAGCCCTATATTGATGATTCCACCAAACAGGATCAAAATGTGCCACCTGATACTCTGGGAGCAACCAAAGACAAGAAATAGCTAAGTAGAGGATGCTCAGCTTGATGCCTCTTAGCACACATTTCCATTTTAAAACAGGTTGTTGATGTTGCTTCAGACTTTCTCCCACATCCTCCAGAGGGCACAGCAATAGTACTTACGGGTTTTAACACACAGTGTCGGGTGGAGAGAATTTTCTGGGATAAATTATGCACAACAAAGGTTATGCACTGCCAGGTAACACCATGTTGAACAATTTAACACCTCTGGAAACTCTACACAGAGAGCTGTATTTGAGACTGTGAGAACAGCACTAGAGCTACACTCACTACTTTCACAGTAACTGAGTATTTCCCAGTTCCAACAGCAAGTGAAAACCTTCCGTGGTTTAATTCATGTAATAGACAACCTCTTATGAGTATCTACAGGTCACATCCTAAATATCAAACACAATGTTGAAAATTAACTGTATTCACCTTCAATAAGAAAATAATTCTTAGGCCACTTCTCAGTTACACTGCTTACCACTATTTTCATCAGAAAAAGCATTCTGCCTCCAAAGAAATGCTTGTTGACTACTTATTACATAAGAAGGAACTTAATGCAAAACTCATGAGGAGCACGGGGTTCCTTCTTAGATAAAAAACCATTCCCATGAGCTTCTGCTTGTACCAAACAATTTGCAATATATTAAAAAGTTCAATAATTCAAATAACATTACCATTAAAAAGTGAAAGGGTTCAAAGAGAATTACCATTAAAAAGTTACATAATTAAAATATTAATTGATATGATTTGTACTTTTTGTAAATTTGAATGATAATTTAATTATAATTATATATAATTTTAATTACATTTAAAATACATATATACCAATATTGTATATGATTCTAATTATAACCTAAATATATTATCAATCATTCAATAATTACCATTGAAATATATATGATTCTCATATAAATTTATATTCCAATGTATTATATATTATATATAGTAATATGTATTATATATAATTATATAATTATACAGTTATATAATTATAATTATATGTAGTATAAATATATATTATATTATATATAATTCTATTTATATAATTCCATATGTATTTTGCATATATAAATATATAATATAAATATAAAAATATATAATGTTATATATTCTGTATTATATATTTTTATATTCTTTATTATATAATATATTCTACATTATATAATGTATAATTCTAATTATCCATAATTCTAGTTATCTATACAACATAAATATATATTATCTATAACTCAATAACATTTACCATTATAAATATGCATAATATTCACATAAATTTAAATTTTAATTTAATTTTAATCACATATTATTTTAGTTATATATAATTATGTGATTACATCTTTTATATATAAATATAAATTTCTAAATAAATTTAACTATAAATGTAAAAATATATCCCAAAAACATATAAGTATTTGTAATGATTATTTATAGATACCCCTTTCATCGTGCCATAAAGACGTATTATTTTGTTAAACATTAGCCCAGTAACTCAGGAAGGCTGAAGGAAGCACCGCCAGCGTACTGAGGGCGTGACTTACGTTGTTCATGTACTCGCTGAGCAGGTCCTGCAGCGCCTGGCGCACGGCGTTGCACTCGGCCACGATCCGCTCCCGCCGGTCGTCCCGCGTGCACGACGAGTCGGCCATGAGCGCCGCCCCGCTGATGATGCTCTCCAGCCTCTCCTCCAGGGACGGCCGGAACCGAGCCTCGCTGAAGGTCATCGGGTCCAGAATGATCTTGTTCTAAAAGGCAAAAGGAAATGGGAAACGATGAGCATACGTGGGTCCTTGGTGTTTTCTAAGTATGTCTTATGTCAACAGAATCACAGAATGTGCTGAGTTGGAAGAGACCCACAAGGATCATCGAGTCCAACCCTTAGCCCTGCACAGGACCATCCCCAAGAGTCACCCCATGTGCCTGAGAGGATCATGCCAATCCTTCTTGAACTCTGCCAGCCTTGGTGCTGTGACCACTTCCCTGGAGAGCCTGTTCGGTGCCCAACCAGCCTCTGGGGGAAGAACCTCTTTCTTTGTTTTGTTTGTTTGGCCAGTCTTCGCTAGCAAAGATTTGGGAAAGGTCTTTTTTACCCTTCGAGCCTGCGCAGTGGATTTTTTAGGTGAGACACAGCGTGCGCTGAAC